TAATGTCTGAGTCAATTGCTTACATAGTAATACTTTTTAAAATCCTAATTTCTACCTCTAAAAGATAAAGGTTCCCCTTTCACATTATGTGCTAGTCATTCCCGACTCTAGGGGGCGGTGCTCATCTCCGTTTCAAAGCTGAAGAGCCAGGGCTGTCCGAAGACGCTTCCGTGGTCATGTGGCCGGCATGACTCAATGCCGAAGGCGCACGGAACGCTGTTCCCTTCCCACCAAAGGTGATCCCTATTTTTCTACTTGCATTTTTGACGTGCTTTCGAACTGCTAGGTTGGCAGAAGCTGAGACAAGTCACGGGAGCTCACTCCATTACACAGCACTAGGGCTTCGAACTGCCGACCTTCTGATCGACAAGCTCAGCATCTTAGCCACTGAGCCACCGCGTCCCTAATTTCTACCTCTAACTGAGGCCATTTTGAGACTCCAATACTGACATGCTGGAGAAGAGGGACAGGGAGGGGGGGAAATAAAGAGAGTTGGGATGTAGTCGAAACAAAATACTTTTCTCTTGGGAACCAAGGACATTCCTGCAGGTGCTGGGAAAGAGAGGACTGGAGCAATGGGACAATATCCTGATTGAACCATGTGATTGATTGATTGGAGAAAGTGACAAACTTTCACTTGTAATTAGATGGAAAACCTCAGGAATATCCAGAGTCGGTTTTCCACCAGGTTGTGCCAACATGACCTATGCAATCAACCTATTCTTTGAGGAATTTGCCTCCCTCAGATTTTTGTTTGTTATGGGTATGTTACTTGGAACCTTGCCAGCCTCTTTACCAAAGATGAGTAGTCCTCAACCTACAACGGTTTGCTTAGAGATTACAACGGCACTGGTTCCAGTTTTGACGAAGGCTTCCGTCAACATCGTACAAGTGATGGATCCACCCCGAGACCGAACGCTGGAGCCTCACCTGCATATTCCTGTGGCAGCATCGGCCTGTTGATCACTTTTTGAAAAGCGGAGATCCACTCGAGCTGATCGCTTTTGGTCTCACAGGCAAAGAGGAACTTCCGGTCAGGGGTGATGATGGTAATTCCGTACTGCCAGTGATTCCCCTGGATGGACGGCGGGAGCCCTTCCAGGGCCTTGTAGCTGTTTTCTTTACTCCCGATAAAAACCTCTCCCCTGGCAAAAGCATCCTGAGCAGAGGACAAAAGCAGGAGGACTCCGTGTTTACAAAGGAGTGGAAGGATTAATCTGGGGGTTTTTTTCTGCAAAAAGTAACAAAGGAGCCAAGATCTGAAGCCCAAACCAACTATCCTTCCCTTTCTCAACTGGAGCTCCATGAAAAGTCACGATTAGGAGGAAAAAATCTTTCTTCCTTCCTTCTCTTCATCTATCATCTATCTCTACTTATCCCTATCTACCGACCTACTGTGTTTTTCTGAAAATATGACCTATCCCAAAAGCCCTAGTTCTCTTTCTTTCTTTTTCTTTCTTTCTTTCTTTCTTTCTTTCTTTCTTTCTTTCTTTCTTTCTTTCTTTCTTTCTTTTTCTTTCTTTGTCTTCTATCTATCATTTATCTGTCATCTATCTATATCTATCTCTATCCAATCTCCATATCGCTATGTATCCATCCATCTATATTTCTATCTATCTGTATCCATCTATCTCTATTTCTATCTCTATCTCTGTATCTATCCATCGATCTTTATTTCTATCTATCTTTGTCTTCTATCTATCATTTATCTGTCATCTATATCTATCTCTATCCAATCTCTATATCGCTATGTATCTATCAATCTATTTCTATCTATCTGTATCCATCTAT